GTACCTGTAGTTAAATCAGTAATTCATTTGTTAAATGAATCTGGCATCCCCATTTGTCAGAAGGCTGTTAAAGGGGATCATGTGACCCAGGGGGGGCACTGCAATGTTCATAAGTACATGCCAGTCACCAAGCGGCTGGATTTTGATCACATGACCATGGGGATGCTGCAAAGGAAAAATGGTCATGTCCCTTTTTTTCCACGGCCGTTCTAACTTTGAACGGTCACTAAACAAACTGTTGTAAGTTGAGGAGTACCTGTAGTTAAATCAGTAATTCATTTGTTAAATGAATCTGGCATCCCCATTTGTCAGAAGGCTGTTAAAGGGGATCATGTGACCCAGGGGGGGCACTGCAATGTTCATAAGTACATGCCAGTCACCAAGCGGCTGGATTTTGATCACATGACCACGGGGATGGATGGCTGCACAAGCGTGGGAAAACAGTTGTAAGTCACTTTTTTCAGTGCTGCTGTAACTTCGGTCAGTAAACAAACAGTTGTAAGTCGAGGACCACCTACTGTTGAGAATGGTGGAGGGGGGGGATGTTAAAGGATCGGACTCCAGGGTGGAGGTTTGCTGTTTTAATTCTCATTGCTCTGTTTCCCCTTTTCATCTATTCATTAGCTTTTGCCACAGCTCCGACGCCGACCAAACGCACCAGCGGGTGGCGGTTTGCAAAGACAAGCGACAAGGCCGCCCTTTAATCCTTCGGCTCGGGCGCCGCCACACACGACGGAAATGGCTGGGGAGGGAGAAGGGGGAGCTTTTGAGGGGGGGCGGTTGGATCGGACCCCGGTCGCCAAGTGGCACCAATGACGGAGCGCAGCGAAGCGCCGTGGACGTCTCCTCTTTGGGTTCCCTTGTGGCGGGCTGGTTCCTGTTTTATTAGCGTGAATTCCTTGCCGAGGGAGGGGGGAAATGGGAATATGGCCTCCAGTCTTAGGCCAGATTTTTTTTTATTTGTATCCTGCCTTTATTATTTTGACAAATCACTCAAGGCGACGAACATATCCAAATACACCTTTCTCCTCCACATTTTCCCCACCACAACAAGGCTGGAGGGCGTGTTGGGCTGAAAGAGAGGTACTGGCCCAAAGTCACCCAGCTGGCGGGACTAGAACTCGTGGCCTCCTGGTTTCTAGCCTGGTGCTTTAAAATCATGGTTTGCTTCTGTTATAGATGGCTGCAATACCCGGAAGGTTGGTGGGGGGGGACAAGTATTTATTTTGTTATCTGTCTGGTTCTTCCAAGAGTCTCATTGTAGAGGTTGGATATACTACTGTAACCCATAGGTCTTTTTTTCAATCTTTTTGCCGTTATTGTGAAAAACTGCAGTTTTTAAGTGAATCACGTGGTTGTTGTGTCAAACCATATTTCCCCACTGGCTTTCCTTGTCGAAAGCTCACACATGGCAATCAGGTGACTCCAGGACACTGCAACCATTGTAAATACATGGCGGCTGCCAAGCACCCAACTTTTGACTGCAAGCAAAATCCCATGGGGTGCTACAGTGGGCAAGCACCAGTCACAAGTAACTTTTTTTCAGTGCCGTCGTAACTTCGAATGGTTGCTAAACAAGAGGTTGTAAGCCAAAGACTTCAAAGAGGTTGAGTGGTTGGAGATATGGGTCCAGACATTTTTGTGCCTGTGATCAAAAGGAAGACCAAAACGTGTGCCTTGTAAAAAAATCTTATTATTTTTCTAATATATTTTTCCTACTTGCAGTGCAAGTAGTCCGAATGGGAGGTTATGAAAGCATGGATTGATAGTCTATGCTAGTAGTCATTGATAGAAAACTTCCATGGTCCCTTCTGGAAATTATAGTGATTTATAATGAGCATGATTCATCAGTGAACCAACTCAAGTATAAAATAATTTGGCAAATGTGACATAGATAAATCCTCATGGAAATGGAAAAAAGGCATGTCGGGGAAAACCAGTGAACTGGGTCAACATTTTTGCGGTAGTTATGGATTAATATATTCTTAAGGCTTAAGAGAAAATATTTTGTTTCCATGAAAGAGCTGAGAAATATCCTCAAATGACAATATTTATAGTATAAATATAAATGTTAATCTTTTTATTATATTTAGGTGCCGCCCATCTCTCTCTGCAAAGTGACTCTACAGAATTGTAGAATATGTAAACTTAAAGTCCATACAATTTGCAATTGTTGTGCTTCCCAGATTTAGTAGTTGGTTTGAAAGAGCTGCATGTCACTCAACCACTGAGTGTGTGCGTGCGTGCGTGTGTGTGTGTATGCATGTATTTATGTATTATATATATGTATGTATTAAAATGTTTCTTTTGGAACTTTCCCAAGTCTGCTGTACAGTTGTAGGACCCGACTTTACAGCACATAGTACAGAGCAATGATCAGAGGCAACTGCCTTTTCAGCTCCAATCAGAATCTCTCCAATTTTAGTATTGCAGACATAGGTTTTATATCCTTTGATGGCCATCATGTTATTCTCCTTTGGTGTAAGCAGTTAGCTTTTTCCAAGAATAAAGTTGCTTGTAACCCAAGAATTATAACCCTAATTTATATCTATTTTCCCATAGTTTCTGATTAATGGATAGTTGGGTACATTGTTTAATAAAAAAAAAAGCTCGAGTTGAAAGCCATCAGTTCCTACTCCTAGTTGGTTTCTGATTTGCACTAACTTGGAGAAGGAAAAAGACATTTAGATAGTTAGTTCCTGAGAGTTTTGAGAGTTTCCATTTAGATAGTTCCTGAGAGTTTTGATAATCTTGAGTCTATAATCACCAATGTGAATTCAGCAGGGAGAAGTCTTAACATACTGTATTTTTCGGAGTATAAGACGCACCCTTTTCCCCCCAGAAAAGAGGGTGAAAATCTGGATGTGTCTTATACACTGAATACAGCATTTTTGGCCTCATGAAACATGACCCCCTTCACAAAAATGGATGTGCAGAGGGTTTGGGAGGCCTGCAAAGTGCTCCTGGGGGCTGGGGAGGGCAAAAACAAGCAAAAAAGGAGCACTCTACAAGCCACCTAAAGGCTATGCATGTCCCTTTTTTGCCAAAAAATGGGGGCATTTGCGTGAAAAATCTTGGTGCATCTTATACTCCGAAAAATACAGTATATTCTGCACCTGATGTGAAGTGTAGGAGATGCTTGTATGTGTTCTGTGTTCTGAATCTACATAAAAGATAGATAACCAGCATTTCAAATAACAACTTCTCTTGTTAATTGAAATTCATTTTCCTCAAAGCTATGAAGTATTCTACTGATTAAAGTCATGTAAAAATACAAATTTACTATGGGCTGTCCAAATTAGGCCACCGGTTTTATCTGAAAAGATCATTCCATTTTTAAGCCTTTTTAACACAATACTAAACACTATTTTAAAGTGTTTCTAAGAAGATAAAGGCCCAATTTAATATTAAAAGCTGTTAACAGTTACATCGTACTTCACACATTTACCTTCAGTTGAAGTAACAGCATAGAAATCAGAAGCAACTCCCTCCCAACCCTATTATTCTGTGTTCTGCGTCTTCTCCATTTTTGGCTGGCGATGACATACTGATAGCATCCACAGTCTTTTATTCAGAATTAATGTGGTGAAGTAAAAAGATGAAGCACCATGGAGATAACTGTTTTGGAAGAAACCTGTGGGATTCTTTAGTCCCTTGTTCAGTTCAGTCTCTGACGCATGGCCTCTTCAACCTCTGCCTAAAAGGCTTCCAGAGAACAAGAGGCAGCTCTTCACCTGGCAGTGTGTTCTACTGCTAAACAGCTCTTGTGGGAAGTTTCTCCTAATGTTTGCCCCAGCCCAATTTTAATTTCGCTCTTGGGAGTTTTGTTTTTAAAAAAATCAAACCTGTTGTGTTTTCTGCATGGTAACCTCCTGGGAATTACCGTATTTTTCAAAGTATTAGACGCACCTTTCCCCCATAAAAGAGTGTGGAAATGTTGGTGCGTCTTATACACCGAATACAGCCATTTTTGGCCTCCCGAAGCCGCTCCCTTGCATCCCATTTTTGCAAAAACCCAGCTATTTTTCGCAAAAATGTAGCCATTTTTGTCTTCCCCAGCCACCAGAAGCATTCTGTAGGCTTCAGCAGAGCTGGGGAAGGCAAAAATGCCCCTGTTTTTGCGGAAAATGGCCTGTTTTTTGGCAAAAACGGGCTTTTGCCTTCCCCCAGCCCTGCTGAAGCCTGCAGAATGCTCCTAGGAGCCGGGGAGTACAACAACTATTTTTCTTACTTACCTCTTCGAAATCTTGGTGGGTCTTATAGTCCGAAAAACACAGTAATCCTTTTCGTGAACCAGCTAAGCAAATTGTTCAGACGCTAAGAGGCATTAGTGGGTGAGAAGAGAGCCCTGGTGCTAAGGCAGCAGATGTTCAGTATGAGCCATGGTGGTGCAGTGGTTAGAGTGCAGTACTGCAGGCTAACTGCCCACTGCCAGGAGTTTGAATCTCACCAGGCTCGAGGTTGACTCAGCCTTCCATCCTTCCGAGGTGGGTGAAATGAGGACCCAGACTGTGGGGGCG